TCATTTCTGTGACACAGCTGCAATTTCAGCTCAGGAGAGTTTTCCCAGCCCCTTTTTCTTGCCAGAAAAGAAAAACAAGGCAAACTATGAAATTGTTGGCTGCCTTTCTACCATAACCTTTTTATAAAACTAATTTTCAGGCTTTTTCAGGCTTTTTGAAGGTGTCCATCTACAGTCTTCAAGAAGGTAAAAAACTTTTTATCAGTTACCAGCAAAATTACAGTTGGACTTGATGATCTTAAAGATCTTTCCAACATAAATGATTCTTTCCTTCTATGAAAACAACACTTCTGATGACATGATTTCAATAGAAGAGTGTACTTACGCTACACACAGTGATGACTTCATGCAGTCCTTTTGCATCATGGGTTAAAAATGTGTGGAGACCAGCTACTTAAACATGGGTTAGAAATGCTAAACATTGCCTGGGATCATTAAATAACATTATTGCAAAGGCTAGTCTTTCAGCTGAGATAGGAAAGAGCCATGTAAGTGAATATACTTTTCCCCTTTATCTTGTCATTTCACTCATTATTTTCTCTTATGAATATTCATTTATGATGATTATGGCTTGGCTCTTTGAATCAGTATTTGCCTGAATACAAAGTCTATAGAAAAAAATGCCAGCTTATAGGAAGGTATTTGACTTAGTCTTACCATGTCACAATACACAAGATATCAGAGATTCAAGTCCTTAAGTCCTGCTTACCAGACAAGAAGAGCCTGCTTGCCACAGGAAAGCCTGTTTTACCAGCTCAGCTACACCTTTTCTCGCTTCTTTCTTCATTATCTCTATTTAGCCAAATTGAAGAGGACAGAGATGAATAAAACAGAAAGCACATACAAGCCAATGGAGAACCTTGAATATTACTTGCATCTGAAATTAATTTACTCTGTGCACCTGAGAGTGTCTATCCACTTAGGGAGCAGAAAAAGCACCATGTCTTACCTAGCCGAGCAAGACTGAAAATCGTGGCTCACATGCAAAGCACATGCAATGAATCTATTCATTACTATTTTAGCATCACCTGAAGGAATCAGTGGGACTGGGATCCTGGTGTGCTGTACAAACACTGAGCAAAGGTACCCTCCACCTGCAAGAGCTCACAGCCTAATGAGGCAAGAGAAACAAAGACAGGATACCAACAAAAGGGGGGTTGTACTAGATGATCTTTAAAGGTCTCTTCCAACCCGAACTATCCTATAAGTCTATGAAAACCCAATGTAAGTGTGAGCCTATAGTTCTGCTTCAGTCTCAGGGATTGCAGATCTGAGTGAGGAAGTGTTGTTAAGTGTTGGCCTTCCTCCCATGGTCCCACAGCTAAATGTAAAGCTGGCAGAGAGCTCTGCACCTGATGCACCACACCACAGATAGTATTATCTGTGCAGCTCTTCTTTAGGACAATATTATTCTCTGAAAAGTCCCACGTGTTAAACATGCAAGCAACACACTACTTCAATGGTTTTTATCAGGGCTGCCACCAGAAAAAAAAGTAGTAGGGTTACCAATGCAGCTTAGCCCATATGTATCCTGAATCCCAAATGATGAAAAGAGGTCTGAACAACCATGTGACTGCCAGAGGGGCCTGCTACCACAAAAAAACAGACAGTAACCATATCCATCAAAGCACAGGTCAATGACCTTTTGCTTATTATGAGCTCAAAGCCCACTTGAACTTTATATATTTGTAAAATCAGTTGGTGGTTGAACATATGTTGCAAAAACAGCATATCAAAGTGCCACCTTAGACCTTGAGTGTCCATAAACTTTCCATGACTGCAGCAGAGGAAACTGTCTCCTGGCAAGGCACATTAAGTTCCTGCAGAGTTCAGGCCTGACTTTTCTAGTGCTTAGGTCACACACTATGCTCTGTTTTAGGTAAAACCTACCCACACTACAGGGGAGACACCAAGAAATATTAATTTAAGCATTCACAGTAGAGAAAAAAAAAATTGCTTCAGTTAAAGCAGAACAACAAACAACAGTCAGCCAAGGACAAGGGAAAGGACAACGAGTTCATTTGGCTACCCATCAAGGCCTTAGAGTCATTACACAGTGAGATCTTGCTGTGTTATTGTGTCTTTATTAAGCTGAGTTTGGGTTTATGTTGTTGGATTTGATACAAATTTGTGGGCATAATAGCATAATTAAATTAAGAAATTAATTTATGTAAATACAAATAGAAGTTCATTGTATTGTTATTGCTCCTATTACCAGATTTGGAACATCGCTATTTTGGCCAGCTTTCCTTGCATTACTTATTCTCAGAATCTTCTTCTACAGTGGGTTTTTCGGTCAAAAAGATAAAATCTCTTCACCTCTGCAGAGCTCTGCATTTAATAGGTGCAAGTTCTCAAAATCTGACTTCTACTTTTTTGAAGGACGTGACAAATTGCTATAGACAAAGATGCTGAGACGGCACTAAACACATCACTGAGGCTTGCTAGGTTTTGATGATGGAGTGTCACATGCTGCCAAGCTGTCTCTAAATAAAATCATTTATACAGTAATAGCAGCTGAGATGTGAAACACATATTACACACTTGTTTTGAGGTGTTTTTTCTTCTGAAGATCTGCTACAAAAAGAGAAATCTGGAGAAAAATTAGAATATAATGTTGATGCAATGCTGTTTTTCCCTTTGAATGGGAGAGTAGAAAGATTGGGAAACATATTTCAAGTATTCACTATTGCAGATGAAATTCATAAAAGAGCAGAGCAAAAATCAAGGTGAGAATTTTCAGATCCTATTTTGTTTAGAGAAGTTACAAGGAAAACACCTTTATTATGAAGGCATTACAAAGATTATCTTCTTGCATAAAGTGTTTAATTTTACTGTGTTTGTATATTCAATACCTAATTTTGCCTTCAGCTACAGCATTTTGCCTATCATGATAAAGTACTGAGTAGGTACATAAGACTACTAGAAAATCTGGTATCATACCAGTATTACTCTCAAACCTTAAGACTGATCTAACCTCACTGGAGTGCATATACAGAGTTATCCTTTTCCAGACAATTTTCTAGACATGTATTTCTTCTCTGTATTCATTATAGCATTGTCTCTTTATGAACACTAAGGCTATAGCAAGAACTGGCTGAATGGCAGAGCTCAAAGGCTACGATCAGCACAGTAGAATCCAGATGGAGGCCTGTAGTCTGTGGCATTCCCCAGGGATCAACAGCGGGTCCAGTCTTATTCAACTTGTTTACAAATTACCTGGACAAAGGGATGGAATTTACCCTCAGCAAGTTTGGTGCTGATACTGGGGCAGTGGCCAGCACACCTGTATTGCCATTCATCTGGACCTTGACAGGCTGGAAAATTAGGTGGACAGAAACTTAATGAGATTCAACAAGGGCAAGTGTAGGATCCTGAGCCAAGTACCTGCATGGACTGGGAGCTGACCTCCAAGCGAGCAGCTCTGCGGAGAAGAACCTGGAAGTCTTGGTGGATGACCAGATGACCATGAGCCAGCAGTGCCTTGTGGCCAGGATGGCCAATGTTATCCTGGGGTGGATCGGGAAGAGCATGATCAGCAGGCTGAGGGAGGTGAAAAACTGTCTGAGTAGAGGTACCCCTCTACTCAGCCCTAGTGAGGGCACACCTGGAAAGTTCTGTCCAATTCTAGGCTCTTCAGTACAAGAAAGAAAAGATGTGACTGGAGGGGGTCCAGTGGAGAGCCAGGAAGATGATGAGACATCTGGAGCTTCTCTCTTATGAGGAAACACTGCAGGAACTGGCCCTGTTTAGTCTGGAGAAGAGAGGACTGAGAGGGAATATCATAAATACATAAAAATATCTCAAAGGCAGGTGCCAGGAGGATGGTGCCAGACTCTTTGCAGTGGTCCACAGCAACAGGACAAGGTGCAATGGCCATAAACTAAAGCACAGGAAGTTTCATCTCAACATGAGAAGAACTTCTTTACATTGAGGGTAGCAAAGCACCAGAACAGGCTTCCCAAGAAGGTCATGGAGTCTTCCTCCCTGGAGACACTCAGAACCTGGACACATTCCTGTGTCAGCAGCTCTAGGTGACTCTGTCTTGACAGGGATAGGACTAGATGATCTCCAGAGATCCCTTCCAACCCTAGTGATTCTGTGGACTTTCTTTTAAAAATTTAAAAAATTAAAATCATCATTTAAAAATAAATGATATTGATGCCTTCTATTTGCAACACTTTATTTTTTTCAGATATATGCCAGCAAGAAAATTTACCTGTAAGTACCTTACATTGCACTATACATTTACTAATGCCTGTATTTGTCCTCATGCAGAGAAAAAATAATTAAACACGCCTAGGTATAGACCTATGGCATAGGCAGTATGCCATTTCCACTTGCTAACAGGCAAGATATTTCTTGATGTTAAATAAACGAAGTTTAATTTCTTTGACTAGATATTTTATTTCCCCCCACATTTTTACTTCCGTAATTATTTTTACCCCTGAGAGATTTTTTGAGAAGGGGATTATTTCCTTGAATTTACAATTATTTAGAATATTCCACCTCTAAGTGTCCTCAGGCAGACAACCATCAAGGGACAAGGAGAATAGAGCTGCTAAATATTCACAGGACTATAAAGGAGCCCCATGAATCCCAGATGGGAAGGTGTTCTTAGCAGAAAATTTTGCACACATGAAACTAAAGGACAGAAAAACATGGTACAGCTCCTCCAAGAAACTGTCACCTCAAATCATTGCTCTGAGCCAAGGTAACTCAATCAAGATAACTCAGCTGCTTTGATGCAGGACAGACCTTCTGAAACTAGCTCTTAAAAAGGAATCTTCTTTGCTCCCTTGTTGCTACATAAGAGAAGAAGAAATTTAATCCCTCTATGAAGCAACTTGAAAGGTGAGCTGGTTTATTGAGCTGGCCAGAACATGCTGATCTGATTCATGGATGTCATCTCTGGGATGACATCAAGACACACTCCCTGATTTGTGGTCTAAGGTGCTAAACTTGCAACAAGTATCATCAGATACACCATCATCTTACTGAGGGCATGAACCAGTGTGGGCATCATCACTGTTTAAAATGGATCCCAGAGTAAGAGCTGAGAAGCCTAAAATTATGGAAGGGGTATAATGGGAGAAGAAGGGACCATCACTACATGCAGACATGGGAATATGGTAAGGCCAGTACTATTCACACTCACAGGAACATGAAATTATAATTGCCACAATTCATTTAGGATCTTCATGAGCCCTGTGGAGCAAAGACATTGCCTGTGGAACTATGCAGACCACTGCTGACCTGTAGGAGAGATATACTCCTGTCTTTCCCCTCAAATGCTGTTGCCTGGGGAACCATAGCAGGGTAATACTGTGATGAGGGAGGCTACACTCTAGAGATGATCCTACTGATTATAAACTCCATGAGGGAATGTGGTAGGCCAAGCAGACCCTGAAGCTCTGGTCTAGGACTGCCAGTGTAACTGCAGGTTCATGCAGGGTGAGCAGAGGGCTGGGGAACAAGATTAAGAGATTGTATCTACAGAATTATTTATTGTGCTATAAAGCTATAAACAAACATGTGAGAAGCATACATTCCAAACTGAAGTGCATTCATCATTATTGTCAGCAATAATGATTACAATAATTCTTTGTACTTCCAGTACAAGTGCAAATCTCTGGGAAAAAAAAAATCCTGAAAACATGAGAGTATTATAATATATTTAGCTTAAAACAAACCCTGTGAAGTAGGCACCCTTATCTGTACATTACAGTGGAGGAAATGTTGGCATGGGCACATTGCAGTTTTCTCAGGGCCAAGCAGGAAACCCAGGGAACAGATGAATAAAGTCCCAAGCTCATGAATGCCAGCCCTCTGCCTCAGTCACAAGATCATTTTTCTTTTCCTTCATTTGATAAATTACAAAAGAATTAAGTTGGGAAATCCATAATTAAGGGTTTGACAATAACCTTCATGCCATCTCCCAGCCCAAGGTATTCAGAGCTACATGGGAACAGAAGTCTGATAAAGGAGGTTTTCTCTTCTTTCCATGTAGGGCAGGAGTGCCTACATTAGCTAGTAGACTTAAGCATCAACTTGTGTAGTTTTTATATGCACATGGAGTATTACGACTCTGAAGGAGGTACTGGAGCAGACCCAGAACTTCTTTAAATTCACTTTATATTGCAAACATTAATTTTTTAGTTCTCTCTCAGTAACAATACATGTTTAATTACACCAGGGAGGCTGTGGTGCTTTGCACAACAGATTCAGTAAGCCTCGCCACAGAGCACATGGTCAGTGTCTGCTTGAAGAAATTGTTGGGAGGCTGGATAAGGTCAAGAATCCTTTTCACCAAGTCAGGACTCAAATACTGGTCATCCTAATAAGTGAATGCTTTCAGCATTAAGCAATTTATCAACAGGTGGAATTAGCTTCTGTGTTTAGCTTTCAGCCTAATCTGATAGTCATTTCCAGAAAATTCTTATCAGCTCAAATCTCATAGGCAAGAAGGGACAGGAAAGATTTATCTTGCTGGTGACAGCCCTTCAGGGTGACCTGAGATGGGGACCCAGCTGCATGGCCCTGCAGAAACCAGCCCTTCATCAGCTCTTTTCAGCCCCCCAGCAGACACTCAGGGCAGCCAGTCACTGTTCTTGGAGCAGACTGCAGCTAAGCCAGCCTGGAAGTCATCGCGGTGCAGACGTTTGCCCTGACTACTCTGCCTGCTGGCAGCATCAGCCCAGCAAGCTTTCACAGCTTCAGGTTTCTGGGCTGGTATTTCTGCACAGCACTGTGGTGTGACAGCTACAGGTGCAAACCCATCTGAAAGCAGGTTGGAAACCTTCTATCCACCACTATGTTGCATATAGAGTATGTATGGAGACACAAGTGATATTAGTGATGGAAGCATTTAGGGCCTTCATGTATTTATTTCCAAGACTAAGAGCAGCCAATAGACAGATTCTGCAGAGGTGTTATTTCAGATTTAACAGCCAGCAGTGCCTGTCTGATATCTAAGTTTTCTTGTAGATCTAACCTGAAGCTTTTCACAGACTACTGCCTGAGCCTTATCACAGGTGGAAGACCCTGTAGTAACAGCTATTTTGATTTTTTGTCCACTTCTTACCAAACATATAATTTCATATATGTTCTTCCTTTAAAACTGTGATCCAGTAATATCTTATTTGCATGCTGCTGCACCTAATGTCTCTTGTACCAGCTTCAAGTTTGGTGCACTCGGTAGTGCTAAATTTATGATTGGACTCAATGACTTTGAAGGTGTTTTCCAACCTAAGTTATTCTACAACTCTATGATATTATTTTCCTAGCTTGCTAATAACCAAGTAGAATAATCTTGGTCATTGTATCATGTGTTAATCTCAGGGTAACCATGCTTGGTGCAAGTCTATTCTGATTTACCAGCACTGCTGACTGCCTGCTGTATCACTCCTATCAACCAGTTTTGTTATCCACTTTTTGATGCTATTGACAAACAGTGCTCTTTCAGCATCTTGGTGTGCTTCTGTGTCCATCATCCATTTTACCTAAAATAAAGATAAATTGTGTATGCTGGATTTCCCATGTCCTCCACATCTTTCACTGAAGAAGACCATTAAGCTTGTTTGGCAGAGGCTCAAATCCAGGACCCAACCCCTCGATCTCTAAGGTCAGCAGGCCACACTCAATTCTTATGAAATACCACTGAGGCTGGTGACATCCCTCTAAGGGGATGTCACAATAATTTTATTTTTTCACACCTGCAATTAGAATTTTCTTTGCCAGGAGAGAACATTTCTTTTTTTGTCGCATCCAACTTAGACAGAAAGCAGAGTACTTAGAGTGCTAGGAGGCAAAACAAAGAGGTTTCTGTGAAGAGTCACTCTGCCGCACCATAGCAGCACCAGAGATGTCCCCCTGCCTGCCCAAGGCAGTGCTACAGAATGGCCCATGTGTGCCACCAGCCTGGGGAGCAGTCAGCACAGAGACACGTGACACGCCGAAGGGACAACTCGCAGCACACAGAGGGATGTGCTGATATCACAAAGCCAGAACACAGGGACTCACATGAACTACTGTGGCCTCAGATCAGCTGATGGCATCTCTGATCAGCAGAGTGGCTATCTTTAATCTTTCCTCCTTTAGGATCATATATTAACCACGTGAGTGTGATCCTCAGCATCCCAAGCAGAAAAGCATGTCTGCAGTTGTCACTTGTCTAACTACTTCTTCTTTCTCCAGTAGTTTCTCAGGTATTCCTCACATGACATCAGGAAAATAATTTTGTTTATGCCATTGGTAGTTATCCAGTCTGAAGTGAAAATATTCATCATTCCTGATCTTACATCCTTGTGCAGAATTTATCTTTAGCTCTCCTCAAATTATTGCCAGTTTCTAATGTAATCATTGTCATTGAATATTTTATAGATGGCAGACAAGAGAGCAGAGAAGTATCAAATCCATGAAGAATGTTAAGATGGAAGACTTGGACCTCAGAGGAAAAGGACCTACCTAGAACAGTCCATGTTAGGAACAACCAAAGTCTGAAAGTCTTTTGAAGAATAATATTTTATTCTTTAAACTGTACACATTAGCTCCTTGGGTTATTATTAAATACCAACCATTGTAAACATATTTGTCTGGGTCATAAGATAATGAGCCCAGGACCATTTGATCCACTTCATGGAGGGACTGTGCTGGGGTGCCTCTTGTAGCAGAGGCAAGGGTGGTGAATTGGCACCCTGACTGCTGTGACAGTGGCTGCAGGGAACAGCATACCTCATCTCCATGGCCCAGCCACAAGGCTGCTCAGGGACACCAGGCAGGAGCTGTCTCCCACTTGTGGTGGTGGACGTGTGGGCTGTGGCACTGTCTGCTGTGGCAAACAAAGCAGAATAAGAAAAATTATCTCAAGGATAAGGCCAGTAGTCTTGCCCAGTTGTTGGCCCCTCTGAGCTGAAACAAGAGCAGGAAGGGCACCTTTGTAGCCAGCTCGGAGAGATTTGTTGCCCTGCTGCATGTCCTTGGGCCTTCCTTCCCTTCAGCAGGTCTGTGCCATCAGACTGTCACGCTGTGGCACCTGTGCACAGGCTGGCTTTCTGCAGTTCCCCATGACTGAGCTGCAGAGAGGACTTTGGCCACTACTGAGGACAGTGTCTTCCTGCCAGCAGGTTCTCCTGCACCAGTGACTCATTCCTGAGTCACTTGTCCTCTTGCCAGGAGGAGCCAGTCTTCTGCCAGAGAGCACAGCAACCTTCCTGGCTGATACAAAGAGACCAGCTGAAAAGGTGAGACATCAGTGTGCATTTGTTCCTAGCAAGGTTTCCTTGGTATTAAACAGTCAGGACATAGCAACAGTCTGGAGATGGGTTTAACTTAGCTGCTTAACCTTCCCCTGCTGATTTTATTTCCTTTTTGGATTCTGAGAAGGAAGTTGTCCGTAGTCAGAGTGAGGAGAATTGTTGGGGCAAGATGAGAGGCAGCTGTTGCCAGCTCCAAGGACTTCTGCTGCCAGATCAAAGTGTTTGTGCCACACAATGAATAATGCCCTCTAGGAAGTCTCATAGGAACAAACCCCCAGGATAACAATTTAGCCCAAGCTTTTTGTTAGCCTCCTTAAATTGGATTTATATAAGTTTAGATCACTCTCTGAGAATTTTCCTGCTAAAATTCAGATTTGCAAAGGCCACTGACTATAGAGAATAAAATCCTTCCATTTTCTCTGTTTGATGATTAATTTTCCAGTACAGGCCAGCCAAAAGTGTCTTCGTTTATGCTTGAAGGATCCATTCTGAAGTGACTGGACCAAGAAGGCATTGCTTAGAGGTGTCTTGTCCAGGTGACAACACAAAGCCTCCTGTTTTGCTTTCAGCAAAACCCACAAAAATGACCTTTTTAAAGATGAACCTACTCTAATTTGACTGCAGTGGGATATTGGATGGGTACATTTAGGAGCATTTATTTGCCCTTTATTCAGGGAATAACAGTGAGATCATCAAAACATACCTGTTTGCCTTTTGTGTAGTCTCCTTTCTGACAGAGACATTTAAATGTGCCCTCAATTACCCTTCAGTGGGCCTTTTTGATTCAAACGCCCATATCTTTCTAACAAGATGGAATACATATGAGGGGTGCATCCTGGTTTCTACTCTACTAGGTGGTCAAAATAGAAGGTAATGCCAAAGAACACAGAATCTACCTGTTGCTCCAGAGGAGCTGAGAAGATGTTGTTCTTGAGCAGGCAAAGATGATGTAAAACCCACTAATTTGAGAATCTTAAAAAAAAAAACAACAACAAACAACCACAAAATAAGGTGTCATGAGAAGCAGAACCCCATTATTGTGCTTGTTCTCCAAGGAGTCTGTGGGGAGGTCAACAAGCCTGTGAAGGATTTTCACACAGCCAGTGGTACCTCAGTTGGTGGAAGATACCCCTCCTCTGCAAAAGAAAATTCCTTCGAACTTCTCCCTTTGAACATCTCATTGCCAGCACATGAAATGCTGTCATGAAGAGAAGGCCAGGTCCAGGTGTCAGCTGCCATTTAGGTGGAGAAGGAGCTGAGCACTGCATGGGCTGAGCAGTGGTTTTAGCTCAGAGCCCCATCCTGAGAGCTGTGTAACTCTCTACTTTCAGAGAGTGTCAGAGGTCAGGAGCTGTTTAATACATAATATAAAGATACAATATCTAATGTAGAGATGTTCACCTTTACTAATAAGTATGTAGGTTTAGGCAACTCCACTGTTACCCAAGTTGTGCTTTTTTGAAATGTCACAGAGTAGCAATCTTCAGATTTCCAAGTCCCCACTTCTCACAACATCCTGGCTCCAAGATTATGATAAATATATCAGCTGATCATTCCACACTGGCTTCTTTACCTCAGACTGGAAAACTGTCACCAAGTCATGGTATGGCCATGACAGTAGCAGCTGAATACACACCAGCACTGAACTTACTGCAGCTGCAAACTCTAAATCCCAACAATAATAGGAAATCAGGAACCTTACTCAGTGAAGAAAATTGCACTCTGAATCCTGTCAGCTTTTTAACATTTGATCAAGTTAGAAATGGGTTCATAGTAATGAATTCTCCCATTTGAAATTGTTTTTCTTGAAAACAACACAGTCTGATTTCCAAATAATGCAGTGGAAAATCTGATGGCATATCATAAAGTCTCTGATGAAAAAATGCAGGCACTGGTGAGTTGAATAAAGTTTTGCAGTCATAGTGGCAAAGTAAGGAGCAACAGATAAAATATTTATTTTTTGAGCAGCAGCTTATACCTGTCAACTGGTGGGGAAAATACAAAGAAAATATCTCTATAGCTAAGTCCTGCATAAATGTGATGAAGATAAGCCCTCAGACCTAAGTTTTTTTGGTAGGCACCCACAACAACAGATGCTGAGATTACCCATGAGGCTGCACAGCCCTATGGGTGCTAATTCCAGGTTCTGTCTACCCATGAGGCTGACACTTTATCAATCAAGATCCAATCCATTGCAGCCCTCTCCACTGCAGGAGGAATTTACTGAATGCTTTGCACTAGGAAATGTAGGCTTTGTGTTAGTATCCTATCCTACCTCCCAGCCCCAGTGAATTCACCTCAGCTTGAGCACCCTACTAGGGGAGGGTTGACTTTGTCTCTCAGGCTCTTGAACCTATTTACACACTGCTACATATACAGTGGGAAAATACTCTTTCACATGCTGTCTTGGGATGAGATTAGCAAAAGCCTCAAGAGGCAGGGCAGCATTTCAGAGGGGTTATCCAGGCAGAGACAATGCCCTGAAAGAGCTCAAAAGCACACTGTTACCTTGGTTTGGGGGTGGCAATAGGGCTGGTCTGGAACATTTGTCATGTCATGCCTTTAGCTGTCCTTCCCAACCACTATTAATCCCCAAGGTTGTTCCTGATGTATGCCCAGCTAAATAAGACCTATCTCATCTGGAGGTAAACCACTCCAAATAGATTTCTCCAGAAAGGCTTTTCCCTAAGTGCTTAAGTGTTTAAAAAAAACTATAAATAGGTCAAAACAATGAGACATGGAGAAGCAATGACCCATTTTTCAGGAAAGAGTATCCCACTGACTTGATTCTCATCCACTACCTACTAGGTCTGGTAATGAGGTTGGGTGTATGGTTATTGTCAATTTGTTCCGTGATGCAGTCCACCTTTCTGGGATACCATAGCAGATGTCAATAGGACAAGAATCATCCTTTTATATTTCCATGTGCACAGGACATTGTCTTTCACTAGCAATGCAGCAAAGTGTTCGTCAGAGCATTTTGAAAAGGAAAATAAAGCTGTTGCCCATGAGTGTTGTCCTTTGAAGTGTGGGACTGAAGCCTCTTGGCTGACATCCCTTTCCTGGCTGACTCACTTTGTGCATGACTGCAGTAGCACACTGCAGTCCCACGGGACCTGTTTATTGCTCCTGAGTAAACTTTCCCCCTTAGACATGGGAAAATGGATTCACAATGATAGAAGGCTGGGACATTCTGCATGCTTGAAATCATAAGGCTTTTAAAATAATTTTTTTATCTTTTTTCTTCCAGTCAAATGCCAAAGAAAAGAATCATGTTAAGCCATGATTATAAAATATGCCTTTGATGGCTTGTGCATTTACCTTGTAGTACCTCCAAGTCAAATACTGTTTAAATCCCCGTCGGCTCACCAAGATATATGAAAGAGACAGAGTTAAGGAGGCTGGCAGGGAATTAACTGCAAAATAACTGGCTGCCACAGCACTAGTGCTGATGCCCGTGGATGAAGGCACCTGTCAGGAGATGCAGCTTCTGCATCTCATGGGTTTATTTTAGGCCAGCAGCCTGGCCAGCTCAGGCCCTTTGGTGTCCAACTGCTGGGACGCCTGCAGCCACCTGCCCCAGTGCCAGGTGACCTCTTGGGCCATGCAGCAGCGGGGAAGGAGGGACAGACCTCAGGGCATTTCAGGGAGGATACATGAGAGAGCAAGAAAGAGGAGGTTAATTACTTAGTCTTACTGGCAGATGGATTTTGAAAGTGGCTGCATCATATTATGACTTCAGAGGACAAACTGATCCAACATTTGGAATTACTTACAAAGTAATGTCTTCTGAATATATTTGCCATTCTAGGTTTAAAAAACAGCTTGTCCTGGAATTCCTTACCTCCTCCAGTGCAGGCAGGTGGCCTGGGAGAGGTGATAGCACATTTCTTTCCTGGCTCTTACACTCCTTTTTCCAGTGAAAGCTGTGACTATTCATATACACAAGTCAAATGACACTGGCATCATACTGAAGTGGTGCCAGTGGTGAATCAGAGACCTTTTCAAACCACTTGAATTTTAAGGGGACAAGAAAGAGGGGCTCTAACAGAAAGCAAAAAATTAATAATAGATGAAAAGTGAAGAATCTAACACTAAAAAAAACCATATGTGCCCATTTTGATGCAGACCTCTGCCAGAAAGCAACAGAAAGCAACAAAAGGTAAAAGTTATAAAAGGTGTAATGTAAGGTAAAAGACAAATATAATTTAAAGTTCCAGTCCTCCTGCAATGCCAGCCACAAGGTGGTATACCTTAAATTGTAGATCAGGGTGAGAAACATGAAGTAAAACTTCAGGTGATTCTTTAGATGAGCAAT